CTCCTGGATATCTGTTTGCATCTGTGTTATGGATTCCATTTGTTTCCTATGTTGGGATTCCATCATGTTCCTCAGCTCCTCTATTTTTTTAATGTTTCCTCTCTAGATTTATTAATCAAGTCTTACACTATGGGTACAATCTCTGTTGATATCTGAGAAATTATTTCTGATTTCATTTTTTCCAAATCCTCTTTTGTTGCCAGTTCAGGGGGTCCAGGTGGTTGAGTATCAGATTGTTCCATCTCATTTCCCTTCAGGGTTGCTTTAGGTGATCTGGTAGTCTGGTTTTGAGGCTTGTTTACGTGTCTTCTCATTTCAAGGGGGCAGGGTGTGCTGCTGGTGCCCACATGGCTCACTTCCTTGGCACTGGGGGTGGCTCTGCTCCTAAGTGCTGGAGGAGGTGGCACAGCAGCCTGGAAGGCTCCTCCTTAGTGCTGGGGTTAGCTCTCTTCATTAATGAATTCTAGCATACATAGAAGGAATAAATAATACTGACTTCACACAAATGCTCACAGAAAACTAAAGAAAAGTAATTTCTAACTTTTTAAGTGACCAGAATTACTCTTGATACCAAACACATTTAGACATTTCAGTATCCCTAATAAACATAGATGTACTTATAAAAGATAGTAAGAAGTAATTTGTTGGGTAGTCAAATAGAATGTGCTTATAAGAATGGACTGGTTAAATAAGTGAATACACACCTTGCAGTTAGTAACAAGAATGATGTAAAGATATGTGCATTAATATGAATAGATGTCTGTGTTATATTATCAAGTGAAAAAAGCAAGTTGTAGAGTAGTAGGTGTGGTATAATGTCAAATACATTTTCATATTTGAGGGTAGGGGTGTGTGTGTATCCACAGGCCTACTCTGAGCTGAAATACACTAATATGGCAATAGAATTGTGATGATGCTGGGGTAATTTCATGTAAGATGTAAGTAGCTGCTGACCTCATTTGTGATCAATAAAACAATACTTGTTCCAATTATTCCATTATTTCAATGTACTTTAAAAAATTTATGAAGATTAAACATGCTAGTAGTATTCAGTGTGGGAAAATGGGCAGTATCATATTCAGTTGTAAGAATGTAACTTTGTATAATTTTTTGAAGAATAATTTGGCAATATCAACATATTTTAAATTTTATTTTTATTTACCTATTATACATTTTTAAAATGCACAATTCCTGTGACCCTGCTATTCCATTTCTGATTCTTTTTGTTTGTTTTTTGGTTGTGAGAATTTTTTTAATTTCTATTTTTATAAGTATGTTTGCAGTACATAATGATTACATTCATCACAGGGAGTGTAGATATAGATAAAAATCTTAATTCTTTTTATGTTCCCTTCCCCTCCTCTGTTCACCTTCCCTCCATCTCTTAGTCCTCTTCTTTTTGTAAAAGATTTGTCTCCTTGTTTCCTATTATTTATTGGTCCTGAGAATTGTGGAATTTGGTTTTTATAATAATGTTGTAAGTACTTAAAGATTGATGAACAAAGAATGATTTCAGCATTGTTTGGAAGACTTTTGCAACAACCTAAATAACAATACTGGTAGGTAAAGAAAAAGTGACACAAATTATGCCACATTTGGACAGAAGAATCCAGAATGAAATAGGAGAATGGAAAAAAAATTGTGCTATAAGATTGAATATTACTCAGCAGTAAAGAGGAACAGAGTAATGATACAAGAATACAGAAGAATCTCAAGAAAATTATATTTAGTGAAAGAAATTAGGCACAAATAATAAACAGATTGTAAAATTCCATTTTTGTTACAATCAAGAACAAGCAAAACTAATCTGTGGAAATAGAAGTAAGAAAGTAGTTGTGAGGATAAATGGGAGTAGAAAACTTAGTGGAAAAGACATGAGAGAAATGTCTGAGGTAATGAAAATGTTCTACTTGCTTTTTGGATGAAGTTCATGGATATGTAAAATTGTCAAAGTTAACTGAACTGAACACTTAAGATATGTTCATTGTATTTTATGTAAAATAAACTACAATTGAAAAAATAGTTCCAAATAAGAAGTGGGGAAAAAAGCTTTATAATGATTGATCTGTAACAATGACACTTAACCACAAATGGTTAAGTTGCAGATAGTAATGGATAGCATTCAGTTTCTTAAATGTTGCACAGGCAAAGGTAAAATCCTACCATTTATATGTTGGTGTATGTATGTTGTGTGTGTATATATATATATATATAGTGTATATTTTTTAAAGAAGTGAAATTGTGACTGATTATTAGTGTATTTTCAATATTCCTCAAGTTAAAAATAATTCTAAGGGACAAAATATCAAGCAAGGGAGAAATAAAAGAAAATTAAAGAAAGAAAAATTAATATAGGATAAAAATGAAACAAGCAATAAAGAAGGAAAGCAAAGATGACTTTACAGCAGCAAAAGAAAAAAAAAAAGAGAAACATAAGTAAAACAATGGCTAAGAAACAGAAAGTTGGGCCAGGGATTTAGCTCAGTGGTTTCGCCACCTGCTGCACAAGTGCAAGGACCCAAGTTTGATCCTCGGTACCAAAAAAAAAAACAAAAAAAGAAACAGAAAGTTACAGGCAGCAAGTTTATATTATTGAAACTATAATGAGTGTTAATCTTAACAGGTCTTAATTGAGGTCCTAAGCTGAAAGCAAACCATTATTTTATGTGCAGTGGTAGAGGCAGAGAGATGGATTTAAAGGATCAACTTTATTTAACTTGGAAAATCTGACCATTTGTTGCCCTTAGCCCATCACTTCAGTTGTCTATGGAGCCTACTGTTGATGTGTGGAAGTATCTAGGAGTATCTCAGGTGTGTAAAAGATAGGACTAAAAGGAAGCTAGGAAGATCATTTTCTCGATCATTTAACTTTTAGAAGGTAAGTTCATCTGTTTTAAAATTCCACTTCCTAGAAGTCTCTATTGCTAGAAAGGCTACACTCAAAAAGTCCAATTCATTAGTCTAGTGTGAGAAGTAAAAAACTTTCTATTCTGTTTCAATAGGTTGGTAGAATATTCAAGGATTGGACTTGAGAGTCAGTGGCTTTCCTGTGCAGAGCCACATGTGCACAGACGTGGTAGGACTGAGAAGAGGGCTGGACATGGCACTCCATAGGTTTTTTAATTAATGCTTCACAAACTAAAACTTTGATACAGATGAACAAACTGTTCTTGTCTCTCTTTTAGATACAATTGACCTACAGAAAGCAAAAGAACATAATCAGAGACTGGATCAGGAAATTTTGGCTTTAAGAAGTCGGGTTCGATCACTTGACTCAGAAAAAAAATTTCTTGGAGAAATGGTAAGTGTATTGGTTAGGGTTCTTCAGACTAACACAATCAATGGAATATATATATATATATATATATATGCATATAATTATGCATGAAGATGTATTAAATAAACTTACAGGATGAAAGGTGAGATAGTCCACAATGGTTGTAAGCATGCCAGGAATCCAGCTGCTCAGTCGAAGAATCTGGAAGCTGCAGAACAAGAAGGCTTAAGGATGCAGGACCAGTCTCATACTGAAGCCCTGGAAGCTTCCTGGAGAGCTGCCCTTATTGAGTTTGTGTTAAAAGACTTTGGAAACTAGAGTCTGATGTCTATAGGCAGTGGTAGTAGCAAGACACACATCCACTCAAACAGAATAGAATTTGTTATAAATACAGGCCATCTTCCTTTTTCCCCTTCATTCCATTGAGGCTGCAAGCCAATTGGATGGTGTCACCTGCTGGGGGCTGATCAGACCCTTGGATACCTGTGAGGGGGGCAACAATGGGGAATAAAAAGAGACAGAGATAATATTCAAGATGCATGGGGACTAGGAGAAGTCTGCCTCTAGTAGATAGACTTGACAATCTCCACAGTTGACACACTTTTATTAGCCAGCAAGAAGCATAGGGCAAAGGGGTCATACATCATTCAATGGAACAATAATGGTTGAAAAGATATTTTGAAAAATAGGAAACAGGTTAAACTTTTACAAGGGGAGTGTGTGAAAAGGGAACAGGTTCTTCCCTATATCCAGATGCCTACCCAAGTTAATAAGGAACTACCATTCTTTACTTTTTCCTCAGTAGATGTTATCTTACCATGGGAGTACTATGATTACAGGCATTCTCCACACACCCAGAAAGCATGTAGCCTTCCATATCCTTTTCTGTTCCCCAAGGCAAGTTACATTAGCCTCAAGACTGGGGCATAAATCACACAATTTGGCCCCCAGTAATTACATAGCCTGGTCCCCAATAGTCACCTACATCAGGGTGGTTCTTCCCAATTAATTTGCTGACCCATGTGCCAGTAATCTCTGGATTCTCCCAGAGATATGCCCAGCAATGTGCCTTACTAATTTTCTAGTCTGTTAATCCAGTCAATCTGACAATTACCATCAACTATCACAGTAAATTTAATTTAGCTCTTGGAATTTATTTATTGTGTATGCAGTAACAGTCAGCAGCTTGAGTAACACAGATATACATCACCTAAATTCATCCTTAAGGAGAACTGGTACTGGTACCTATAATATCTCAAGTAGATTCCATACTATAATTTGACCTAGGTACAATCTATCGGCATTTATATTTTATAAGATTTTTAACTACATATGCTAAACAGTAACATTATTGCTATTGTATGAACCTAGAATCTTTTTTTTTTTTTTCGTACTGGGGATTGAACTTGGTACCTTCTGCTTGCGAGGCAGGCAGCAGAACCACCGAGCTAAATCCCCAGCCCAAATCTTTTCTTTTTAGTAAGCTTACAGTTAACCCATTTAGCAAATACAAAATATGACTCTTATTTGAAAATGTTTGAGATTATTAACACTAAACCCTTACTTGTACTCTTTTTAAACCATCTCTTCTTAGCAATTTATTCATTTTAATATATACTTCCAAATTCTATTATGTCTCTTCAGTTTTAGTTTATATTCATTTCACAATCCTATTTCTAATGTCAAACACAGTATTAGCCTTGCATAATATGAGACACTGAAGAAATTTTGTTTTGAAAATGAGTAAATACCCATTGGGCTAATCATCATTAAAATAATAGAAAGTAACACATGTTGATAAGAATGTAGAGCAAATGAACTCCTTGTGCCTTGCTTATGGAAACGTAAACTACTGTAGTCACTACAGAAAACAGTATGGAAGGCCGGGAGTTTAGCTCAGCGGTTCCGGCGCCTGCCTTGCAAGTGCAAGGTCCCCAGTTCGATCCCCAGTACCAAAAAAAAAAACAGTATGGAAGTTCCTCAAATAATTAAACTAAGAATTACCATGTGATCTTATAATTTCACTTCTGGGTATACATACCCAAGAAACTGAAGCAGGGATCCAAACATGTATTTATATACCCATGTTCATAGCCGCATTATTCACAGCAGCCAAAAGGCTGCTGAGATGTGGTAACACATGCCTGTAAATCCAGCACTTTGGGAGGCTGAGTCAGGAGCAAAGCCTGAGCAACTTAATAACTTAGCAAGACCTTGTTTCAAACACCAAAAATAAAAGGGGGTGGAGATGTAGCTCATTGTGAAGGTCCTGAGTTTAATTCCCAGTATTGAAAAAAAAAAGTAGAAGCAACTCAAGGCTCCATTGATAAATAAAAAAGAAAAATGTGGTACATATATATAGCGGAAAATTTTTCAGTCTTAAAACAGAAGAAAATTCTGACATAGTTCAACATGGGTAAATCTTGAAGAGAGTATGGTAAATACCTTAAGCTAGTCACAAAAGAGCAAATAGAAGATTGTGCTTATATGAGGTACTTTGAGTAGCCAAAATCATAGAGTAGAATGATGATTGCCAAGAACTGGAGGAGGGAGTAATGGTGAGTATTGTTTAATGGGTATAGAGTTTCAATGCAAGATGAAGAGAGTTCTAGCGATGGATGGTTATACAGCCATGTGAATGTGTTCACTGCCACTGAACTGTATACACTTAAAAATGTTTAACAGGTTACATTTTGTGTTATGTGCATTTTGTGACAATGAAAAATACAGTTTTAAAAAGAATGAACAAATGAAGATTTTTCAAGTTATCCTAGTCTCTGTAATTTATATATAATATCTACAAATATATTTAAATGTTTAATACAAGTGTGTATACACATGAAAAAGGGAAGGAAGGGCACATGCAAAGCAGTACTACTTTTGGGAAGAGAAGCATTGTGAAAATATTACTTTTTATCCTATATCTATGTGCTGTTGAAGTTTTACAAGGAGAAGGCATTCATGTATTACTTATATATATTTATTTGTTTTTTGGTACCGGGGATCGAACTTGGGTCCTTGCACTTGCAAGGCAGGCAGCAGAACCACTGAGCTAAATCCCTGGCCCTACTTATATATATTTAAAGCAAAGCAATAATGTAGTTAAAAATTGAGATGCCTAAAAGATGTTTACTTTTGTATTTAAGGTTGAAAAACTTAAAGCTGGGATGTCTGAATCTCCAAAGAATAAACAACTTGGAAACCACTCCCCTGAAAAATCTGTGGGTGCTGAACAGAGAGTAAAGGTATTTTAAAGTTCTGTGTTTTCTGATTTCTCATTTTTAAATAAGTTACATTTCTACAGAGTGTACAAGAGTAACTTGTGCTAATCATTTGCTACTTTCTTCTTACTGGGACTTTTCTATTGTTCAGCCAAATAGAGTGGAAGAAGAAATTGGGTTGCAGGTGTCATTTCTTCCCCACCAAGAACAATTAATTTTAAGAATGTGGTAGATTATTTCTTTAAAGAAGAAAACATATCATATGAAGATATAACAAATAGCATTTTAAATTATCAAAGAGGGCTATTTATAAAATCAACCAATGGTAGGATGTGCAGCAGGTTGTTGGAACCATACTGAACAGAATTAAATGTTGTAGAGAATTAGTGAGGTGTAGACTACAATGTGTACAGCATTTAGTTCTTTGTGACTAGCCTTTAAAGTGCTGAGCAAAGCAACTGAACTCAAGATAGATTGAATTAAGTGCTAATGTGTGTCTAGTAGATACATGGTAGTAATTCATAATGGTTTTAACTGCCCTTTTTGAGGGTGTCTAATGAAAATGGATATATTTTATTTGTTCACTATTTGCATATGTCCTTTTGTGAGGCATTTGCTCAAATCTTTTACTCATTCTTAATGGTTTTATATGTTTTCTTTACATTGAGTTGTAGGCATTCTTTATGTATTTTGAATACTAGTCTCTTGTGAGAGATATGTAGTGTAGTTATTTTCTGCCAGCCTCTACCACGTATTTTTATTTTCTTAATGGAGTGTTTATGAAAAGTGAAGGTTTTAAAAATTTGATTCATCGGTGTTTTCTTCTTATAATTTTGTGATAGAACACAAAATGCCTATCTATATAATTTTTGTCTACCCAAAGCTCACAAAATATATTTCTTATACTTTCTTCTATAGGTTTTATAGTTGTAGCTTACATATTTAGATTTCTGATCTATTGTAGATAAGATTTGTATATGCTGTGAGATAAAAGTTAAATCTCACTCACTTCTAAATGTATATCCAGTTATTGTAGAACCACTGTTGAAAAGACAGTTATTCCCTTATTTAATTACATTGGCACCTTTACATTGGGTCTACTTCTGGGCTATTCTATTCCATTAATGTATATTTTGTTCTTAGGACAATTATTTGCTGTAGCTTTATTATAAGTTTTGAAATCAGAAAGTATAACAGCTCCAATTTTTGTGAAGTTTTCTTTTTCAAAGTTGTTTTGGATTCTGCTAGGATTTTGATTGTATGGTAATCTTCAGGCCAACTTAAGTGAGAACTTACATTTGAACAACATTGAGTCTTCAAATCTATAAATGTGGTAGATCTTTTGATTCACTTGAGTCTTCTTTAGTATATCTCATTAATGTTTTATAATTTGCAATACACAGATATTATACATATTTAATTAAATTTGTTCCTTTTAAAAAATAAAATATCTTAGGCTGGAGCTATAGCTCAGTGGTAGAACACTTGCTTAGTATGTGCAAAATCCTGTGTGTGATCCCCAGCACTGCAAAAAAAGTTGAAATGTAAAAAAGTTGAAATGTACTACAAAATTTACATAACCTTTTAGAGTATACAGTTCAGTGGTTTCTAGTATATTCACAAAATTATGCAACTATTACCACTACCTAATTCCAAAACATTTTCATTACTCCAAGAATACTCATTGGTTAGTCATTCCTTATTTCCTCTCCCTCCAGCCCCTGGCAACCACTAAGCTATTTTCAGCCTCTATGAATTTGCTTATCTGGTACATTTTATATAAATGGGAATCATTTTAAAATGCAGTCCTTTGAGGCTGAGTTTAGGTCCCTGGTATATCACTGCCTAACATGTACAAAGTCCTAGGTTTGATCCTCAGCACTGGAAAAAAATGCAGCCTTCTCTGTGTAGCTTCTTTCACTTGGCATGTTTTCAAGGTTCATCAACCTTATAGCATGAACCAGCACTTTAACCCATAGCTGAACGATATTTCACTGTATAGATATGTACCACATTTTGTTTTATTTATCAACTGAATGTTTGATAGTTTCCATTTGTGGTTATTATGAATAATGCTGCTGTGAATGTTCATTTTCAAATTTTGTATGCTTTCATTTCTCTGGGAATATATTTCAGAAAGAAATTACTGTGTTATATATCAACTCAACATTTAACTTTTGAGAAACTGCTACACTGTTTTCCAATGCAGATGTATCATTTTATATTCCCATCCGCAGTATATGAGGGTTCCACTTTCTCCACATCTTCCATCAATTCTTGTTATTATTCACAGATACATTTTTGTGGTACTGGGGATCAAACCCCCAGGAGAAGCACTCTACCACTGAATCTACATCCCTACTCCTTTTTAATATATACATATAAGAACTGTAAGCGAGTTACTAACAGTGGCCCTTATAAAGGATAAGGGAGGGAGGAAGTAGACACAAGCAGGAAAAGCCTTCAGATTCCAGTGCAGTCTGACATCTATTAAATAAGAGTCAGAAGAAATGAAGATTGGAAAGGAAGAGCCTTAGACTGTGAGATAGCTCTGAGAAGTTCTCAGTGAGCCCAACAGGGAGCTTTGGCACAATAATAACCAGCAGAGGAATTCCACATTGGGCAGAAATGGCCACGTCGTGACATTCTCACCTTGTTCAGGATCCACTGGAGGCCGCTGGGAAGAGTGTGGCAGTGCTTCCTTGAAGGGAGATACTGGAGGTGCACTTCCATGTGGCCCTCTGATACTTGGAGACAATCTGGTTAATCTACCTCCCTCTGTGATCAATGTTGACTGTGACATTCTGTATCAATAAGCATCTATGCAGGGGGGCATATTTATTTGTTTGTTTTGGCTTTTTAAAGACAGGGTCTTGCTATGTTCCAGGCTGGCTGGCCTTGAACTTACTGTGTAACCCTGGGTAGTCTTGAACTCACAGTCCTCCTGCCTCAGCCTCCTGAATGCTGGGATTATAGTCCTATGCCATTATGCCCAGTTTTGGATCTCTATCTTGTTTTAAAAGATGTTCAGAAAAGATCACACAGTTTTCTCTAATGTTTAACATTAAACATAAGAATTTTTTTCTACATTTAATCTCAATCTTCTAGGCTGTGGTGTAAACCAGTTTTCTTTTCCTTGAAATATATATGGATTTCTAAAGTTATAAAAGCTTTATATTGACTAATGATCCTATCACTTAATATCCCACATTAGCCAGCTGGAATGGGCTAAGGAGGACCATTGCAAATAAATGTTTCTTCTCTTTAAAGACATTAAAGTAGAAATCTTTAAAACTAGAAAAGGTTATCACTGAATAGTAATCAATTATACTTAAAGTCATTTCTAAAGAAAGTGAAGGCAACTATGGATTTTTTTGCCTTCAAAATTCTCTGCCTTGGCTCCCCGGCTACCATTCCACCTCTCCCGGGGCACAGGAGGTGAGCCGCACAGGCACCAGCAGCACCCACCCACCTCTGTGAAAATGAGAAGATACTTAAGCCTCAAAAACAGACTTCCAGATCACCTACAGCAACCCCAAAGGGAAACGAGATGGAACAATCTGATACTCAACCACCTGGACCCCCTGAACTGGCAACAAACGAGGATTTGGAAAAAATGAAATCAGAAATAATTTCTCAGATATCAACAGAGATTGTACCCATAGTGTAAGACTTGATTAATAAATCTAGAGAGGACACATTAAAAAAATAGAGGAGCTGAGGAACATGATGGAATCCCAACA